AGCTGGATGAGATGTTAAACCGAGATCCCATCTGCCTGTTCGGGTATATGTTAAAGATCTCATGGCACTATTGGAAAAGAGACATAAGTTTCTCCTAGTGTCCTGGTTAAAAAAACACCGGATAAAACTATTCATTTACCTTAGCTGTTTGTGGGACATTGCTGTACTCAAATTGGCTGCCGTGCTCCCTTACAAAATACACTACACTTTACAGTATATGCTGTGAAGTGTTTTGAGATGTGTTTTTGATGTGAAAAGTATCATATCAAATGCGAGGATTTTTTTCCCTATCATTTAAAGTTTAATGAATTCACTAAGTGATTTGTAAAACAATCAGTAATGTCACTATTTTTCAACAATCGCTCTGGTCATGTCTTAAAGCCTATTTTATATCATAAATAAATAAGAGACATAGAATGAGAAAAAAGCATTCAGCCTGTCAAGCTCACTCCTACCACAGACTGGGTGTGATCTGACCTGTCACGGACTTCACCCTATGTAACCCAAGGGAAACTTCCTACTTAGATCCTGCCTGACCCTTGTCTAAAACAAACTAACATTCCTCCTTGTCCATATCTCCTACTATTCGGCTTCAACCTTCCTATCTGCTCTGACATAATGATCCCGAAATCCCCAGGCCTCAGCAGTTGTAGAACTCTTCAAAGTGGAATGGAAGCTGAATGAGATTGAGAGAACCTTGAGACTGATTCCTAGCTTGCGTTCTCACATCAATCAGGGTGAGTCATGGATCCCTTCAACCGTCTGATCTTTACAGAGGAGATTTTACGATTCATTTGTAACCAGAACTGCCTGATAGAAATGGGCCTTGTAAATGAATGCAGCCCTTCAGGGTGTTGAGCAACAGTATTCTGAGACTCGAGCATAATCGCAAACTGAGGTGCTGCTCTACAGATCAATAAAGCAATACGATTAAAGATTTATTTCTTACTTCCAGCAGCTTTGCCACTTCTAGTGTAATTTCTAGGTTGTTGACCTGACCAGGTCTCCAAACCAATGTTTGTAAATTGAGACGAGCCTCCTGTGTAAATGCATCCTAAGGGGGTTTTGGGTTTCTGCTGTCAAATGTGACCACTGCCTAACAGAGTGAAGCATTTTGAAATGCCAGTGATCTCACTGATGATAGAAGCTAAAGGTCTGCACAGGGAGCAGCATTGACCCAAACCTGTTATCTGAGCTTCCTTCAATTTGCGTTGTTGATTGAAACTGACCCAGTTCAGATTTAGCTCGCTAAAAGCAAAACATCCAAAAATACACGTGCACGGTTCCACACATGTTCAGCTTCCATTGGGAGACGATCGATTCCTGAAGAGACTTGTGTGATCCATGCACAAAGTGAGGAACTGAAACAACAAGAACAGCAACCTGCACTTGTATAGTGCCCTTCACTTACAGCAACGTCTCAAAGCAGTTTACAGCTCCGGTGCCAGACACTGAGCAATGGGAGGGGGTTTGGGGCCGAGGGCGGAACAGCAAGGTGACTGGAAGGCAGTTGAAAAGGTAAGCTTTTAGGTGTTTTTCAAGAAAGATATAGAGGGGGTAAAATGGAAGAGTAGGGGATAGGAATTTGACAGGGTGGGGGCATAATGGCTGAAGACCTGACTGCTGATGGGGCCTGCGGAGGCTGGCAGGAGATGAATAGCAGCCCCAAGATTGCTAAGCAGAATGGGCGAGTAGAAGAATGTGGCTGGAATAGTTAACAGAGGATTTGTTTATTGGTGAGCGAGATTAGGCTTGCTCACCCCCATTAACCGAATTAGATCGAAACGTTCCACTTAGAGAATGAGGTTGTCCCCGCAGACAAACCTCAATCCCTCTCACCTCAAAACTCTTCTAAGCCTCAAATTGTCAAAGGACAATGTGGAGCTAAACCATGTCTTCACAACCACCCGAGCAAGTTAGGTGGCCAGATCGCATCTGTTTCTATGGCCCGGATTTTCAGATGAGCTCTGCGTTCCAGTATCTCCTCATCCTCTAATGAGGGCTGATCAAACTCCTCAGATCAGAAGAGGTAGGAAGATCGATCCTCTTAAGTACAGTCACTTTCTGGTGCATCAAAACTGTCTATATAACATGTCTCTGCCTGGCAGAAAATTAGCAACCTGACTCAGAGTATCCAAACGTTTGAAAATGAATGTGGCACACTGGTGCATCAAGTGGGCTAGCCTTATGATGTTAATAAAATACACACAAATTTTTCTAGTGAAAGCATCTTTACGGGGATGGTGAAAACGTTAGTGTTAAGTGCTTCATCAATATTAGAATGATACGTGAGCTCTCTGTCTCAGTCCTCTTGCCACTCAAGAGCATCGTCTCATTCATTCTTTCATTTTCTCTGATTTGCTGCACAGGTATTACAACAAAGAAGAATTGATTGTGAATGTAACAGTGCAGAAAGGGAACAAGACTATATATAGATCTTTAGCTGGGTAACAGTGTAACCTCTTAGAAGAGACAACAATTTAAGGTACAATTGTTACCCAGAGGTAATAAAGGACATTATATCCAGCGGATTTGACTTTTACCAATCTCTTTTGAAATCCTGTTGTAAAGACTTCATTTTATCTCCAAAATCTCCAAAAAGGATCAGCTTTTGTCTGCTTCCCTTCAATGGAGAGCAATGAGAGTCTCTGCACTAAGATTCTTTTGGCTCAGTTTTGGTTTCTGCCCTCTATATCACTGTTTCACATCAGACACTCTCTCCAACAACGCAATTACAAGCTGGGAAAGGAGTGAACGTAAATGATTTTGCTTTAAAGGAACTTATCTTGAATTAGCACATCTCATAAAACATTTAAAAGTCATATATCCCGCCTCCATAACAATTATCACTTCCTCGCAAAATGGGGGTAGGAAGCAGATCTTAATTATTTATCTTGTTCCTTCTAACCCTCATCTTCAAAGGCTGAGTGGAGGACAGCAATTTCTAATTAAACACAGCTTGGTGTAATTTCACTTTGATGAAATAACATACCAGCACAGTGAATGTCTGCACCCATTTTGGCCTTCAATTATTAATGGAAATGCAGATTTTCTTGGAATTAGGGATGGAGAAAGGAGGACAGTAAGATGATGAGATGGAACAGAGTGCCAACCACTGTGATTCCTGCTGACTGAGTGGAGAGCAGAAACCCCCCAATAAATAGTGCGGGTTGTGTCTTAATGCCTTTGATTTTAATCAGATTAGCTCATTAAACTTTTTTTCCATGTTACTGTTACCTACTGCCACTTAAACATTGAAACATTGTATAGCAGTCAGAGCCATCCATCCGTCACTCTCACGCGGGGGAAGCTTAACAGTCTAACAACACTCCAAATACAGTAAAATACAGTACAAGTAAAGATTGTTTTTCCTATCTATATTTCATGTGGGAAAACCAATATAAAATAAAAATAAGAAGCACCAATTGGTCTAGAAACTGTTTCCTGTGTGTCCCAGGTTCAATGCATTGTTTTGTGAAACTAACACAATATAACGTAAAAGGTTTAACTGCACGTTAAAATACAGCGCTAGAGGAGGAACATTTCAAGTGCAAATTGCTTTCCTCCTCCATGCCTCGCACTGCAATAAATCAGAAAGTCTCCTGCTTGTAAGTTGAAGCCATGACTTACAAATTATAACACTGCACTGCACCCTGGAGACCCAAGTCCTCAGATCAGGTTGAGTCGCTACATTGGGCTAAGTCAGTGTTGAAGCTGCTGTGAAGATGAAAAGCCTGACATGTTTTTAATTCTCTTCACATTTAAAATCACACAGAATTTTTAAATTTTGAAAAATTTTGAAAAATTCTTGTTAATATTAATAATCCTCGCATTAGATGTACCACTTTTCTCTTCAGAACGATGTCTCAACGCCTTCACAGGATTTACTGTGAAGTATAGTGACCAAGTGTAAGTGAATTCTGCAGACAATTTGCACACAATACACAAACAGCTATGAAGTGAATCATCAATTATGTTTGAAGGATTGTTGGCCGGGAAACTGGGAGAAACTCCCTTCTCTTTTTCAATAGCGCCATTAGATCTTTAACATCTACAAGCAGTTGGATCTTGATTTAACGTCTCATCTGATGAATCTGTACATTCGCAGTATTGTCTGTTTTAAACTCTATTTTCCTCTCATAGCACAATGCAAATATTGGTGCAACTCTCACTAAATATCAATTAGTTTGTTGTTACTCATGGTAGAGTCCTATCCTCAAGCATCCTTCAACAATACAATCCTTCCCTTGGATGAGTTCCAATGGGACTGTAATGATGTGTGCTCCACACTTAAGAGTTGGTCTATTTGGTAATGTTGGAAAGCTGTCAGTGTAGCCAGAGTGTTTTCTTGATCCTGTCCTCAGCTGACATATTCAAAGCAGGATTACCAGCAGGGTGGTGATCAGGAGCACAGTCATTGGGTGGTGATCAGGAGCACAGTCACTCTATAGTGATTAGCAGCACAGTTACTATATAGTGATCAGGATCAATGTCACTATATAGTGATCAGGAGCAGTTCACTGGGTAGGGATCAGGAGTAATGTCACTGGGTAGGGATCAGCAGTAATGTCACCGGGTAGGGATCAGAAGCTGGAATCCTGGCTGATTTTATGCCTGTTAATACTCCACGAGTCAAGGCTTATTTTGCTTCTGCAAGACCCTACACAACACTCTCACACTCCCCTTCATATCACATCACATTTCTTCCCACCAGAGCCAACACAGACTGGGGATGGCGAGGTGTAACACCAGGAGAGATTGAGACAGAGGAGGAGGGTCAGTTTAAGACAGCGTGCTGACTCACCATATCACCTAGTATAACAGCTGCTCTGTTACACCAAATGGATCCACATGTTTACTTTTATTCATAAACCTATAAAAAGTCCATTGGGGATAATGAAATCCAAGTGAGTGCAATTGAGTCAAATAATGTGAACTTGCTGTGATTTGTAGTGTGGAGAGGTGTGTGCGATAAAGAGGATTACAGCAGTCGTACTTACTGACAGTAATATTTGAAAGGAACTGTGGATGACCTCCAGATACTTAAAGTCAAGAATGCAGCCTGACACTGAGATATATGAGTGTTCATCCAGGCTTCTGCTGACTGGAGCTGTCACCTCCCTCCGCACACAGCCTGGTCCGTGCTCCCTCCACCAGGAACGGTGCATGGAGATGTTAAAGGTCATCAGGTCAGTATCCTGAGAAGAGCACAGAGAGAGAAAAAAGATGTAAGGAGACTTCTGAACAATCATTAATAGCTGATACCAATCACATGTGTGATGGTGCTCTGGGTATTTTATGCAGCAATGCTGAAAAAGTCAAATTACATAGAATTTCTGTATTTTTATCAATATTTTAGTGACCACATTTTGTAGAGTTTTACTGCTACATGACAGCTCTTTCTGAACACCATGTACCTAATACAGTGTTAAACAAAAAANCACAAACACTGCATTTACTAGGAACAGGAGGAAAAATTCTTGGAGTCAAAATTCCAATACAATATTTCTAAACATTGATTCCTCAATCATCAGCGGTGCTAAATTCAGGAACAGTGCAGAAAGTGTGGTTTAAAATGTATCCTTAATGTCAGCTGTGAGACTGAATGGTCTTTACTTCAGGAGAATGATTTGTTGATTCCTGGTCTCTAGAACAAAGCCTCTGCCTTTCGTTCCCTTAAACAAGTTATTTTGGTTTCCACAGAATATAGATTTCCTGCCATAAATGTGAAAGAACTCTTGTTACAGAACACCACTTGTGTTTCACTCGGACCTCCCAATGGCCCTGACAATACATCCTACCTAATATCAAATCCTGCCTTAAGTTTACCTTACTGCACAGAAAACCAATTTCATTTACTCCAGCAACAATTTATCATGTGCAAGATCAATGGTGTAAAGTCAGTTTTATTCAAGATCATTTATTTGACCTCAATTTCACTTCAGTTTAGCTTGCCTGCTATCTCTGCTGAAGCAAAGTGACATTTTGGTGAATTTCTGTGTGGCTCGGGTCTCCTGCTAACACCTGCACTCATGATATAAATCCGTAAAATAACCTACATATAAAAAAAATTGACTTTTTTTAAGGAATTGTGATAAGTAGCTGGGAGATAGGGGAGCCAGACATGTATACATCCAGGTCTGAATAGTGTATAGTTTGCTGTAATACTGGAATGATGTAGATATTCTTGTCAGAAATGTAATATTAATAATGTAATAAGGATGCTGTATGAATGTGGTTGGCAATATTTAAATGCAAATATTACATTGAAATACACATATTACAAATATTACACAAATATTAATATTTTTACTGGAAAATTAAATTACAACTTAAATATAATATAGAGAAAATAACGCAGAATGTTACAGCAAGCCATTTGGCTCAACTGGTGCATGACAGTATTTATATTCCACATGAGCTTCCACCTCTCCTAATCCCCTCTCCTTTGCCGATCACCTCTCTTCTCCCTCATTTAGATATAGAGTTACACAGAGTGATAGGTGCTTATGCTGATGTTTATACCCCGCACAAGCCCTCCTTCGCTCCTAATCCTCTCACCTATAACCCTCTATTCTCATCTCCCTCATGGATACATAGTACAGAGAGTGAGTGATAACGACATCAGAATGTGATCTTGGCATAGGACACATTGGATGTACACTGCTAGAAGCTTATCTTTACTATCACAACATTAAATGTGGGGCTGTCTGTTTAAGTCTGTTCAATGCGCGTAATCATCATCCAATCTACCTTTCCGAAAACAAGAAGTATACAGGAACATTCCTGCAAGCAAAGCTGTTTAGTTATTGGTTTCAAACCTACTCTTTCCTTCAGTGAGATGACTGGGATCAAATTGGACAAATATTTTGCTTGCAATATCGTCTGGAATGGGAAATCTAGCCAAAGGATCCACAAGGGTTGAAATCCTAGAATTATACAGCACAAAAGGAGGCCATTCGGCCCATCATGTCTGTGTTGGCCCTTTGAAAAGAGCTATCAATTCAATCCCACTCCCTTTTGCTCTCCGCATAGCCCTGCAAACTTGTCCTCCCCAAATAATTATCTACTTCTTTCTTAAAAGCTGTTATCGAATCACCTTCCACCACCCTGTCAAACAATGCATTTCCGAGCTGAATAACTCGCTGTGTAAAAAAATTTCTCCTCACCTCCCCTCTGTTTCTTTTAACAACTATTTTAAATTGGTGTCTTCGGGTTACCGACCCACCGTCAGTGGAAATAGTTTCTCCTTGTTCACCCTATCAGATACCTTCATAATTTTGAAAGATTCTATTAAGTCTCCTCTTAACCTTCTCTGCTCCAAGAAAAAAATAATCCTAGCTTCTCTAGCCTCCACTGATAACTAAAGTCCCTCATTCCTGGTACCATCCTGGTACATCTCCTCTGAAATGAACAGAAATTGACAATGTTTTGGGACAGTAACTTGGAATTCAACACAAACCACCATATACTGCACACTCAGGAGAAATAATACCAGAAAATATGAATAGTGTGGTGTGTATGGGTGAGGACATGCTTAGAGTTATTGGTAAATGTTAAACGGAAATGACTCGCAAAGAATGCTGAAGTATTAAATTCTTTACAAGGCTTTTCATAAAAGTTCAACCTGTGAGGATTTAGAAGAAGATTAAGAGTCATGAATTAATCAGGTTTGGATTTGGAAATGGTGGAAGAGAGAACACCTTGTAATATAATTACAACAACAACAACTTGGATTTATATAGCGCCCTCCACACCGGACGGTGTCTCAGAGCGCTTCACAGTAACGGATCCTGGGGCCGAGCCAGAGCGAGGCGGAGGAAGGTGACCAAAGGAGCGGTCGAAAAGAAAGGTCTTCAGCAGAGACCTGAAAATAGGAAGACAGGGGGTGAGGTGAAGGGAGTGAGGAAGAGAGTTCCAGAGCCTCGGGCCTTAGTGGCTGAAGGCACGGCCGCCGAGGGTGGAGCGGAGAACTCGGGGGACAAGGAGGAGGCCAGTACTGGTGCAACAAAGGCAACGGGCACTGTTTTGAGGAAAGAGGAGGTCAGAGGAGGTAGGGGGGGTGCAGAGGAGTGGAGGGATTTGAAGACAAGGATGAGGATCTTGAAGTCGATCCTGTCTGGGATAGGCAGCCAGTGCAGTCTGCAAGGACTGGGGTAATCGGGGAGCGGAGTTTGGTGTAAATTATATTTATTGGTGCCACAACTGAACCACTCTGGGACTCTTCCCTACGTGAGGGGCACCATGTAAATGCACGTTGTTGTTGTCGTAGCCAGGGGTTGAGTTGAATAGAGTTGTAAATACTTTATTTGACAAAAGAATGTCCTTCAGCAAATGGATAAAAAAAACTAAAAAGAGATTTGGAGGAATTTTCTCTCCCACAAATAACGGTTATGAAGCTTTCCCAGAATTAATTAGTTCCCATGTCAATTAACAATTTAACACAAAAACTGGATAATAGTCGATTAAGAATCAGACTGAAGGTCACAACAACAACATCCTGCATTTACACAGCGCTCTTTGTATAAAATAACGTCTTTGAGGTATGGACAGATCCTGTTCGAAGGAAGAGACATGTGGAGGGAGAGGGGAAGTAGCCATAGGCACGGTCAAAGAGATACAAGAATATCAGGTAGACAATCAAATAGTTTGCGAATGTAATACCGTGGAGATTTGATGTGTGAAATAGAGCCAGTTAGATTATATCAGTGATAGTTTGGAAACCGAAAATAATGTAGTTTACTTCTGGGCGGCCTCACGTTTTAGAATTGCTCTCCGAATAAAGCAAATAACAAAAATAAAACACACGTTGTTTAAAACTGCTTAAATCAACACTGTCATCCCCCTCACAAGATGCCATTAGTTTGATGATAAAATACCTGTTAATAAATCTTTTACATTCATGCTGTCTTTTTCTGCTCCTTTCCAACAGGAAAAATAATCCCGTGAATGTGAAATGTTGTTTTCCACGTGTGGACTAGCCAAGGTCACTGCTAATATCACTCCCTGAGCTATAATAACTATCCTTGCATTTGATATAGCCCCTTATCATGTCTTCAAGGCGTCTCAAAGCGCTTCGTACAATATACTGTAAAATGGATTGACCGTGGGCTCTACACAGAAAGTTATGTTGACATGATGACCTGAAAATCATCAATTTTTTAGCTTGGGAAGCTTCCCACTCGTAGTGTATATACGCAGGGTGCAGGAAGTGACCTTGCCATTTTTTAGCATGGGAAGCTGGCTGGCTTTCCGCACGCATAAACAGTGCACTGACCTGAGAATACGCTTGATCTCACCGTGTTGTAAGGGTATGATCAAACCATTTTATAATGAGATTCTATTGAGTTACTGTGGCTTCTACCAAAATTTGTCAGTTCGGCTCAGTTGCAAGGTCTGTAGGTCAGAAGGCTGTGGCTTTGAACCCATCACCTGCATCCTTGATCTCAGGATCAAAACCCTCCCCGACAGAATTGGAGAAGTGCTGCAGTATTGGAGGTGGTGTCCTTTGGGTGAAAAATTAAATTAGTATACATGTGATTGCTCAGGTGAATGTTAAAGATCCTTTGACATTATTTTAAAGACAAGTATGGAGTTATCCTAGTGTCCTAGCCACTACGACCATTAAAAAACAGATTAATAGTCCATTCATCCCACTGCTGCTCACCACATATTGCTGGCACTGATTCGCTACTGAATTTTACCTACCTAATGACTGTCAATGAACTTCAAAGCAATTACGTGTGAAGCTTTTTGAGACACTTTAACAGGATAAAGCGCTAGATCAAATGCAAGTATTATTTATTTAATCCAGAACTCTGCCTGATTGCCCTCCATCAAGATTCAACGCAGAAGGGGCTCCTCTCTCCTATTTGAAAGTAAATACGCTGACCTTGGTAACGTGTGATACCTCTATTAGCAAAATGTATTGTCCAGAGAGAATAAGACACATACAAACACTGGAATCAATGCATTTCTTGAAAAGTGGAGAATAACCTCCACTCTATAATGCCGTTTCATATGCTTTTTTTTCTCAAATAATGTGAAGCAACAACAGACATGGCAAACAGGATGCTAGGCTATATTGCCAAATCAGTTGAGTTTAGATGCCCAGATGTCATTCTCAGGCTGTACAGTGCACCGACCAGACCACACCTTGAATCCCTTCATATAACTCTGGTCACCGCGATATAAGGAG